ATGATGCAAGGAAGAAGGAGCTGCTCGCATTCGTGATGRCTCTTAAGCGCTGGCGGCACTTCCTCCTTGGGCGTCGTAGGTTCACATGGGTCACAGACAACAATCCATTGACCTACTAYAAGACGCAGGACACGGTGAGCAGCACGATCGGACGATGGATGTACTTCATCGACCAATTTGACTTCACACCGAAACATGTCCCCGGCCTCTCCAATCGCGCAGCAGATGCACTCTCGCGAAGACCAGATCTTTGCGCTATGACACATCATGCCTTTGCATTCAACGAGGAGCTTCAGCGATACTTCATCAGGGCATATCAGTCTGATCCGAACTTCAGCACGCTCTATGCACAACTATCTTCGGATCTCTCGCCGGCCAGCCATTTCCGCATTACCGACGGGTACTTGCTCCTCCACTCGAGAGGCAAGGACTTACTATGTGTCCCATGCGACCGTCGTCTTCGGACTCGCCTCCTCGGCGAGTATCATGATTCACGACTCGCCGGCCATTTCGGAGTCAACCGCACTATTGCACGGCTTCGACAACGATTCCGATGGCGTGACCTCATTACCGATGTCACTCGATATTGCGACTCTTGCGAAGTTTGCCGACGCAGCAAGCCCCACAACCGCAATCCCTACGGCGAGTTACACCCAATGCCTATCCCACGGGAACCCGGTCTCTCCATTGCCATGGACGTCACCGGTCCGTTTCCTCGCGACCGGCTCGGGCACGACGGCATCCACACGGTTGTGGACCGATTGAGTAAGTCCGCGCGTTTTCTCCCTTGCAAGTACTACTCCACGACTCCCGAGCTGGCACGCCTCCTGCACACTGGTTGGATTTGTGGCCACGGTGTACCAGAAGACATTGTCAGCGACCGCGACACTCGTTTCATGTCGGCATTTTGGATTGCTCTCATGCAGGAGTCCGACACAACAATGAAACCAAGTTCGGCTCGACATCCTCAGACAGACGGGCAAACGGAGCGGGCACATCAAACCGCTCAAATGATGCTTCGTACGCTCATCCGTCCGGACCAGAAAGAWTGGGTTGACCGCCTCCCCGACATCGAGTTCGCCTACAACACTTTGGTGCATCCGGCTATCGGCGTGACTCCATTCGAGTTGCACCACGGTGGACGGAAAGGCCGTATCTTCACAGACCTTCTCCTCCCTCGACCAGCCGACAATGACGCTGCTTGCTCTCCCGCTTCAGTCCGGAAGTACAGGGAATTGCTGACTCAAGCCCGCGCAAATATGCAAAAGGCTCAAGTCCGCATGCAGCAGCATGCCAACAGGCGTCGCGTACCATGTCCCATCCGCGCCGGTGATCTGGTTTGGGTCTCCGCGGAAGAGTTTGCACTGGAACAGGATGTTTCACGCAAACTGCTTCCCAAGTGGTTTGGACCTTGGTCTGTGACAGCAGCCGCGGGCGATGAGCCCGATGGCCCTTCATTTGTGATCAACATTCCAGAGCATCTGACGGTCCATCCGGTCTTCCACGCCTCGAAGCTGGCAACATACACACCAGCCAAGAGCGATGACTTTCCGGACCGACGATCGCAGGACCCTCCTTCCATGGATGGCCATAAGGAAGTTGACCGCGTCATCTCCGATCGCAAGTACGGCAGCAAGCCGCGGCAGTACAAAGTCACATTCAAAGCATGCGATCGCGACGACACTCGGTGGATTTCAGGCGCAGATTTGAAAGCATCTGCACCGCTGATCTACGCGCATTATGAAAAGCGGAGGTTAGCTCAGGAAGCTTTACGACCAGCCCCTCCCACCCAGACTGTGGTCCCTCCCTCAGACAGACAGCTTCGCCCTCGCAGGTAAGCTCGGTTCTTCAAGGAGGGGGGGGTGTGGCATACTGCGTAGCCACACGGGCCCTGCAGGGCCCGTCCCGGACATTCAGCCTAAAAGCCTAAAACTTAGGGCTTACAGGCCCCGTTCGTTTCAGCCTG